TATCAAATGCTCAGGTCCTTGGTAGCGTATTTGTAAGCATTCCACCTGTCACGCCGGTGATCGGCGTTCGATTCCCCGCTCGGTGATACATGAATTTGTTTTTTGCCCTTAAATGGGCGGCTGCCACGCTGTGTTGTGGTTTATAGCTAGCCTGCGATATCTGGGCCTTTTTTCGCTCGATTTTTGGGTTTACATCTAGCCTGTGATAGCGGCGACATGATTCTCAATGGTCATGTCACGGGTAATCTTTGTTCGCCTCTGAGAGGGCAGTTTGCATGTTGTGTTGTGGTTTACAGCTAGGCTGCGATATCTGACCCAAAGTCTTCAGTGTTCATTAATATACTTGTAAGTATTCCGCCATTCACGCGGGTGACCGGTGTTTGATTTCCCGCTGGGTGCTAACTTTTATTTTTCCCTTAAATGGCGGTTGCCACGTTGTGTTGTGGTTTACAGCCATGTTGCAATATCTGCGCCTTTCGTCCAAAGACATCAGATTTCAGTAAAGTCCTAATTAGCCTCCCCGCGACGCTTCACTCGATCAAGAACTATTCGGCGACGACAGAAACTGTTAAGTAAGACCGCTTTCAGTCCAGTTTGGTTTGCATCAACACAGATGCCAATGTCAATTAAAAATCGTCCCTTCGAAGAGGGAGAGATGACGGGTGCGAGTTTTATTTTCCTCTGTTTATGAGTATAGTGTACTTTTTTTTTAGTTACGGAATGTTACTGTGGGTTCCATCACTGGTTAGGTGATGCAGTTTTGTTTTCTATGTCAGGGGCACAGTTAAACTAAACAGTCTGTGGCGACAGAATGCGGCGCTAACACCTTTGGCTACACCGACCTGCAGAGATAGTAGTGACAGTTTTGTTGTGAAGGTGGTGGTGGTAGTGGTAGCAGTAGTACTGGTACTCGATGGGTGATGTGGTAGCTGTTACACTGGCCACATGTACTTCTCAATACAGATTAATGCACTGCCTTCTCTATTTATATACAGACAGACCTGATTAATGCTACTCTTTTCAGTTTGGGTGGACAAGGATGCCAAGCTAAGTTTAATATCAATATTTCGTCAGGCGATGACTTTCCCATACTTTGAAGAGTATGATTTGATTGTTGAAAAAAAAAAATGGCGGGGTGGGGTTGATGCCAGAGACTGTCAACTGAGAGAGCTTAAAATATTATTTTAAAATTCTCATTTCTTTCTGTTTGAATAATTTCGCCACGTGATGATTTTTCAGTCATTCGGAAAGGGAGATTTTATTTGGGGAGGGACAAAGGGGTGAGGGGTTATGACAGACACTGTTAGCTCAGAGAGCTTAAAATTTTATTTTAAAGTTCTTTTTTCTTTAATATTTATATTTTAATACCGCTTCCTCTGCTATTCTCATTTTTTTTTGCCACTTTGTTGGTCAGTTAGAGGTATAGTAGTCAGCTTTACTTTCAGCTGTTTAAGCAAAAAAGATGCTTTAGCCTGTGATAAACAAATAATCTTTTTTTTTCTCTCTCTCTAACAAAGCACTTTAAACGACCACTAGTGAGTTATAAATTAGATTATCTTCACAGCACTCCGGACACACCCATAGGCGCTCAGATTTCTCTCAACATATTCATCAGCGTCGCACGGTTAATAGTGCCAGTCCTATGTTGGTTAACAAGGCTCCGTGTGCTTCTCATGCTTGGCTGCGCCGATCTTTATTCCCAATTCGCGTATTCTCAGAAGTGATGTGGACATGTTGCTTCCAAAATCCTCAGAACATCCTATCTCTCTAAGGGCAATGACAAAGTCTGCGTGATCCATGGGCCGGCCATCTTCAATTACTGCAGTGCCTGCCAGTCTATCAGCTCTCTCATTACCAACAACGCCTGCATACCCTGGAACGAATATAAAAGTAACTGCACACACAAGAGAATTTTGCAATGACTCAAGCCACTGTCTGCGTAACCAGCCTGCCTCGACCTGCCGGATCATACTCAAAGAATCACCCAGCACACACACACGGGAATAGTCCTGTGATCCCAGCAACATGAAAGCCTGTGTCACCGCCATCACCATGCTGCTAGTGGTCATGGAGACGGCACCGCTGGCTTTCTGAACTGTTTTGCCTGAAGAGCGAGCTGTAAATGTCCATGCACTCTTGTCCTCATATAACAGACCCATCAGTGAAGATCGCTACATCTGTCTAATTTGATTTGTCACTGATAAGCGCGCATACCTCGGCATTGACAGCAGCTGGATTCTGCTCCAGACTTCTATCGAATGTCACGACACAGGAGAATGCGAGACTGGGCGCTTTAGACACTAGTATCCACTCCTCACCTGGATGGATGTCTGTAAGGCTGCAAACCTGCATGTCATCCTCTGCCCTACCCACCATGATTTGACCCTTTTAAGCCAATTGTCCTTTTTCTTGAAGAGCATGTCGTGCTTCAGATCTGAGCTTATTTTGAGGTATGCACGAGCCCTCCGGATCTTGATCCTGTAGTTCATGTTAGGGAAGT